CATACTGATATCCTCCAATCTGTTGATATTGAAATTTTGACCTCAGTCAATAATATCTATCTTAAATATCATCTAACTGGGTTAATTCCTGATGGCATGCACAAAATTTTCAAACGATTGGGGCTTTTAACGGCACACTGTTAGTTTCATATAGACATTTAATAGTGAGTGAGTGAGTGAGTGAGTGAGTATGGTTTTACGCCGCTTTTAGCAATATCCCATTATTCCAGCAATATCACGGCAGGGGACACCAGAAATTGGCTTCACACATTGTACCCATGTCGGGAATCGAACCCGGGTCTTTGGCGTGACGAGCGAACGCTTCAAACACAAGGCTACCCGACCCCCCCAGACATTTAATAAACTGTATGAAAGGACAACCTGTTTGTTATGATATGATCTTTTTATAAACATGATAAATATGACAGAGCGATGTTGACGTCTATTATCAGATTTGCAACTACTCTAAACACAGAGGAGAGGGAGTCCTAAGTTGGATAACTTGTTCCCTTGTTCCCAATCCATTTCAATCTGAATAAAATATGTTTAAATCAAATCTAAACACAACATTGAAAGGATGAACAGTTTGTTTTTATATATTTCTAACACAAACGTGATAAACATGACAGAGCAAAAATTGATGGCCATTATTAGCTTTAAAACTACTTGCAACATAATTTTTGTTCACTTACCAGAGAATGGAGGTTCTTTTAGTGTAGTTATAGGTTTAACCTTGAAACATTAAAACCCGAACCAGTGTTGGGTTTCTGTCTATTACCTACGGTTTCAAGCTCTGGTACAAAGCATGCTAGCCAAGGCTAACTCGTAAAGGTAATCAGGTAAGCATTTGTGTAAAAAAGGTATTAAAACTCGCACACCCTCGGGACAGTTCAAGCGTGATAGGACAACAATAACAGATTCAGTTACTTCAACAGCGGTACAGCGGTACCTCTATACAATCTCATTAAAATCAGATCTTAGTTCTCGCTACCGCTAAAGCTTTGTTTAGCGGTAGCGAGAACTAAGATCTGATTTTAATGAGATTGTACCTCTATACAACAAAACTGTTGAAATGGATTTCAGCGTGACATAAAAATGATCAAGTGTAAACTGTGAAATTAGCCAGATGTCAAAACTTTACTAACTCTAAAGAAATATCTTACCTTTGATTCCTGTTTTCAATAGTTTTCAGATTTATAAAATTCAGAAATGCTTGGGTACTTTAGGTTTTACGCCAAGTTATTTAACCGACATGATCTACACAATCTAGGGTCTCAGAAATCTTAAACTTTAGAGTTTGAATTAATAATACAAGGATCCACTTTCATTCTTAGTTTTAAACACTGACGTGTTGTTGTTGTTGTTAGAACAGGTCCCCAGGAACCTTTCCCTGCAATAAGACATTAGTACGATAAGACTTTTAAGATGTGATTAAATGGATTGGGAGGTCAGGCGAGGTGACTTGTTAAAGTGTGTGTCATTGTACCCCAAGAGCATGCGATATTGCAACAAAACTCTGCAACAAAATTCCCTGCAGTCTATGGATGGTGACTCCTCGTATTCCAGGAGGGTAATGAGTGAGTGACTTTGGTTTAACATGTTTAATGCTGCTTTGTATAGTATTTTGGATGTATCACTGCAGGTTGTTGGTTGGTTGGTTTGTTGTTTAACGCCGTACTCAGCAATATTCCAGCTATATGACGGCGGTCTGTAAATAATCGAGTCTGGACCAGACAATCCAGTGATTAATATCATGAGCATCGATCCATGCAATTAGGATCGATGACAGTCAGCTCAAGGTGGAAGACAAAAAACATTATCAGGACGAATATGGGATTTGAAGATATGATCGTAGCTTTTGGGCATACTTAAGGGACGCAACTCAGTACAGCAGGAGCAGGGGGAATGACGGAAGTGATGCAGTTCTTACACGTTCAGCACGTTTGTGAAACCCCGGGTTAGAATTGGTCTTCAGCAAATCCATGCTTGTCTCTTCCCTTCAGAACCTATGCTTGTTGTGAGAGGTGACTATACTTGTTGTGAGAGGTGACTATACTTGTTGTGAGAGGTGACTATACTTGTTGTGAGAGGTGACTATACTTGTTGTAAGAGGCGACTAATGGGATCGGGTGGTTAGGCTTGCTGACTTGGTTGATGCATGTCATCATATCCCTATTGTGTGGATCGATTCTCATATTGTCAATCACTGGATTATCTGGTTCAGACTTGATTATTTACAGACCACATTCATAGAGCTGGAATATTGCTGAGTGCGACGTTTAACAACAACAACAACAACAACAACCAATGTTCATAACAGAAAGCATGCAAGGAAGAAATATGATCATAGCAACAGGTTAACATATTATTAGTTCTACTATTCTGATAATTGTTCATATAAGGAGTGTTGAGAATCACTCTAACAATTCTGACTGATCATTACCTTAGTGAGTGAGTGAGTGAGTATGGTTTTACGCCGCTTTTAGCAATATTCCAGCAATATCACGGCGGGGGACACCAGAAGTGGGCTTCACACATTGTGCCCATGTCGGGAATCGAACCCGGGTCTTCGGCATGACGAGCGAATGCTTTAACCACTAGGCTACCCGACTGCCCCGACCATTACCTTAAGACAAATTGCTGATTCACCTTTGTTAATGCATGTAATGTGAAACATTTACTAGCCCGAATTGTGATAACATTTACGAGACCCCTCTAAAAAGCCTGAACTTCAACTGGGCCTTAGGATGCTTTTAGCATTAGATTAAAAATCTAGTGCTAAGTTGCTTCCCTGCCAATGATTGCCTTACAATTGAAAACCTTTTAATGCCCTTGACACTTCATCTTAAACACCCATGGTCTCAAGCAACCTGCTGACTAAACAGATCGGGTAATCAGATACGGTGACTTGGTTGATTGCATGTCATCGTATCCCCACTGCATGGATTGTATTACTGGTGCTCATGATGTCAATCACTGGATTGTCTGGTACTGACGCAATTATCTACAGACCACCTCATTTATCTGAAATATTGTGGCATTAAACTACAAACAAATTATCATCCAGAAAAATCAAAAGTAATATTTGTCAAACATCAATGTGACAAACTTTTGTTTAACTCTTCAAGTCAAAACAAGATCTATCACAGGAATTCCAGACTGACAGTGACACAATATGTCACATCATCTTCCAGATTAAAAGACTAGACAAACATTAAAAGACAAAACTGGAATACTGGTGTCAAAGATCATGAAAGGCGTGAACACACCAGACATGACACCTAGCGTTGCTTCACAAATGGGTGCAGTAACGGAAAAGTGTCAACACTACTGTTAATAGTAAAGGGCATTCACCTGACTTTCATGTTGCAATTCAGCAGTAGAAATAACATTTTTTGTCTACAGTACTTATGCTGACAACATATAGCAAAACCCTTCAAACATGTAAAATGGCAAATTTCTACTAGTCCTTATGATACCACAACTATTGGGCAGTTTGGCAAGCACTACAGGACTAGTGCCAATTTCTAACGCTGCAATTTCTTGCAATGATTCTTGTATTGTGATACACACCACTATAGAGTGCTGCTTTTCTGTCATCTGCAATTTGTTATCTTCACACTTTTTCACAATTTTTTTTATCATTTTTTTACAAGTCTGAAATGGACCTATACATCGGACTTCCCGTCACAATTGGCTTGTGTAATAGACTAAATAATACAAGAAGCTGGACATGAATAGTTTCCCTTTATCGATCACAGTAATCAGTGGCTAATTCCTGATTTTCATAACTTCAGATCGACTTGTCACTTATTTCCAACAAGATGAAAATATGCATGATTTTGAAAAACATAATATACCAGTATCTTTCAAATCTATTGTGATATGTATTCATTAGTATTTCACATTGTGGTATTCCTGTAAGAGTCTGTCTCCCAGACACTAGAGAATAAATATTAAATGAGTCCAAAACAAGTTTCAGCTCTAAAATTAAGATTGTTCTGGGCTCCATTTGGATTTTCTTTTTTAATATTTTGTAGATATATATTTAAATAAGATAACTTATTTCTGGAACTAAATATCAGTCCATATGGTAATACCGCACACCTCTAACTATTCCGACTAATTATTGGCAGATTAAAAATGCCTTGGATTAAATTTTACAAAAAAAGCTGCAATTTGGTCATGTTGGTTACAGATTATATTTCACATAAATAATAGGTTAAACTAAATTTAGTCCAGGGTTTCTGAGAATATGCAAATTGCAATCTAGTTTACTGACCTGGCTTACACCTGTATTAGCGTCAAGGGTAGCCAGGACGTTACAGCTGTATTCACAATACAGAAAGAGAATGCTTAAGCCTCTGATAAAACCTTTCAACAAACCCCAGAAAATATTGTGATTGTGGAGCTCTTATCAACCATTACTTCCCCTAAAACCAGTAAATGATTCAATGACAGTCATGTTCTGAATATCAAAATACCAATACACAAATCCACTAGCGTGCACTCTCAGGCTACTTGCATATAAAGTTGCAGGAAGTTGATTGTATACTTGAATAACGTGACTGAATTAATTGTAAAAAGTCAACATGTGGTAGAAAAAGGGTCTGATATTACAAGCTGACTAAAAAATATGTACATTGTTATTTATTTATTGTGTAAAATCGAATGAAACCTAAAATTAAACGACACCATGTACCCTACACCACAAGATCAGGAGTCTAGGTTTTCGAGAATTACTTCCTGTTAAGATTTTGTGGTGTGGTTATCATTATGAGCCTTGAGTTTATGACACTGACAGCAAGGAGTAGCTGAGCCTGTGGTACAATAATAAGACGCATTCAAATAGTGGAACATATGCATTCATGTCAATTCAACAAATAACACTGGTCAAGCTGAAAAATAAGAAAAATAATTAATTAGACTGTCATTTAACTCGTTGGAGTGTGAAATGTTGTTTGACATTTTGAAATGCTCAACATGTGTTAAAAGGATACAAGTCAGGTCCAGATCGTAGCCATCTTCCTTGTACCGGCGTTTGTTTTTGCTGACCCACTCTTTGATTTTATTCGCCATTCTTGGAAATGTTTCGGAACACTCAAAAGTCAATGTTGGTTGAACTATATAAAATAATCGCGACAGTGCACCGATAGATCTATATTCACATGATATCAACTCTTCGGTTTTGGCAGGTGCTCGCTCTTTGTCCTTTTCGAGCCCTGTAGACACAACATCGCTTCAAATTTAGTCTCAATCCATTCCAATTTTCACACCGGATCCAAAAAATCCATTTTGAATAACAAAATCCCACTGTCAATTCATGTTCAAGCTGAACAGGTCTCAAGCCGACTTGTGTGCGGAAATAACAGTGGCCATGATGGCGGCCGCCTTACCGTTAACTGCGCACCACAAGAAATAGTCCGTATGTACTACATTTAATACGCTTCACTGTTCACATGCTGAAATATGGAGTTTGCAGGTACATTGATTTTATGCATTAATCGATGAATTTATTTTCGTAGACTTGAAAACAGACTTGAATCTACGCCGGTTTAAATTTGACAACAGGTCAGGGGTCAATGTAGTGTAAGTTCTAAGCCCCACTTTGGTGACCTTTTCAGCTCGGTAACTGGGTCAGATTGAACGTAAGTATCGTATTTGACCCAGTGACCGTGAGATGCACCCCGGCAAAATGCATCGATTAGCACGGGACGAACATAATTAGAATTGTAATGTCTCATGCAGCGCAAGAAGGGTCGGCGTTGGGGATGTGATTTGTCGTTGTTTCGCCGTGTTAGTTTGTCAGACGCATTTTATAACAAGTTTGGTTTCTGCATGCACGTTTATTTATAGCCATGATCAATGATACGTTTTATTTTATTCCCTCGATTAATTCAAAGCGCTTTCTTTTCCTCATAATATAGGCTAAACAATTATTTTAAAAATGAATTTCCATTAATGATTTTGAGATGATACGCCCCGAAATCCGTATTTTGGACTGAAAATATATTTCAAAGAAGAATTTTATTATAAGCCGATGGAATTTAAAGTTCCTTATTCTGGATGATATTGTGGGTTTTTAAGGTTAAAAATAATATCTTAATACGACAAAATGGTAAACACACAAAGGCAAACGAAAATGTAATCACGATCCGTACCTCTTTTTCATATTATGAATATTTAGAAGCGCATAACTTCATAACCTTTTATAATTAAGAGGGTTTGAGATTTCTGAAAATTTCTTTTAAATTCAAAACTTCAATTTTCTATTCTGCCACGTAGTCTTTATCGGCATAATTATTGTTGATTTTTAGTTGCAAATGTAGATCTAGATCTACATTCTGATCACTTTTACATTTATTTAAGAGACAAACGACGAGTGGGGGTTGTTTATTGTAAAATAAAACACTGCAGGCGCAGCCCCGAGTGGTTTATTCTCCCTGCAGTGTTTTATTGTACTCTAAACAACGACCACGTGTCGTTATTTTCTTATCTAAGATATCAACATTATGTAAGTCTCTTTAAGGCTTATGACAAAATGTACAAGCTTTAAAAATATTTACACGTACTTTAATAACCTTCCCGCATACTGTCACAATCCTCACGTTGATTACTTGTACCGTTTCTCCCCAAACCGATTGTCATATCTCTCGGCAACCCTGCAGAGTCCTTCGCTTGGTTGAAGTAGGGGCGGTCGGGTAGCCTAGTGGTTAAAGGGTTCGCTCGTCACGCCGAAGACCCGGGTTCGATTCCCGACATGGGTACAATGTGTGAAGCCCATTTCTGGTGTCCCCGGCCGTGATATTGCTGGAATATTGCTAAAAGCGGCGTAAAACCATACTCACTCACTTGGGTGAAGTCGGTTGGCTTGCAAAGTGAAACAGAAGGCTTTCTGTTTGCTGCTTCGTTGAAAATAAAATTTATATGTATAAAAGCCTGATGCTCCAAGGTATACCTAATTCCGTTCTCAATTAATTTCTGAATTCTCAAAAAATGGTGTAAGCTTAAAAAATGATTCGCTTTTCTTTGGTACTGTAAACATTTCGGGAAAATGTAAGGTTGATTTTATCATACGTTTGATTTTCAATTGATAATGTCTTAAATTAGCGATATACCGTATTCGACGTAATAAGCGCCCAGGGCGCTCTCAAAATTAGAAATAGGGGGCTCTTATTAGAATGTTATTTTGGTAAAAAAAACAGAGTTGAAAGATAAATTTCGTGGTTTATGCTGACAGCCTGAAAAGTTTATGTACGACAGATATATTTTTCCAGAATTAAATGCCCATAATTAAGGATGCATATAATTAACACACGAGTGCGTATTATACGCGAATAAATAAGTCTTGTGTACATTGATCAATCGGAAGGGGTGCTAATTGGGATTGTTCACTAGCCAATATCTTAGCAAATGTCGCCGTGGGCGTGTTACGACGTAAATTGTAATAAAAAGGTAAATTGTAATACTTGCAGCAAATTGTAATAATTTTGACGTAAATTGTAATAACAACGTAAATTGTAATACGCAAATTGTAATAAAAATTGACGTAAATTGTAATAATCTCAACTTGCGGTAAAATGTAATAACTTTTTACGTAAATTGTAATAACTTTATAAGTTTAGTGTCAAAGGCGTTAAATGACTAGAACCTATCCTTGTCAGGGTTGGTACAGGGTTTATCGTACAACTGTCATTAAAGAATGGGGGTGGGGGGGGTGGGGGGGGGGGGGGGGGGTGTATCATGTACGTAAATGAAAGTATGTAAGTGGACGATAGTATCTAGATGGCATACTATCATCTACGTAGAAGATACTATCATATACGTAGATGAAAGTATCTTCTACGTAGATGAGAGTATTTTCTACGTAGATGACAGTATCTTCTACGTGGATGATAGCATGCCACAAACATCACATCACTTCCAATAAATGTCTTTCACTATGTTGACACCACCCTTTAATGACGATTGTACGATAAAGCCTATACCAACCATCCCTAACTTAACAGTTTTGTACGTTTGTCATCATACACAGTATTTCTCGAATTGTACATGTGAAACGCAAGCTCAACTGACAAAGATCATTTCTAGTCAATTGGCGTCTTGGACACTACGGTAGTAAGGTTATTACAATTTACGTAAAAAGTTAATACATTTTACCGCAAGTAGAGATTATTACAATTTACGTCAATTTTTATTACAATTTGCGTATTACAATTTACGTCGAATATTATTACAATTTACGTTGTTATTACAATTTACGTCAAAATTATTACAATTTGCTGCAAGTATTACAATTTACCTTTTTATTACAATTTACGTCGTAACAGGGCGCTTATTGCGTCGAATACGGTAATATCCAAACCATAAAGTGTATTGGTGCTTAGTCCGCACTTAGTAAATACTTCTGTATGGTTTTATTTTTTAGAATATACATATTCCTATACTAACTGCCGGGCAAAAGAAAGTATACTTGAAAATTGGATTTGACCAAAAAAACATACAAACGTTAACGAAACGTTACTAGGCTGACCACTCACTCACCCACTCTTCTACGTTAACTTGTGATCGCCTTCGTATGGCCTAGTGGATAGAGCGTCTGCTCGGAGAGCGGAAGGTCGGATTCGATCCCGGCTGCGTCATACATACCAACATACCAAACACTTTAAAAGATGGTACTTGCTGTTACATGTGCATGACTGGCGCTCGGCATTATGGGGATAAAACAAGGACTGGTCGCTCGGAGTCAGTGTGCTATGTCTGGGAGTGGTATCCATGCATGTTTGAACTGCTGCAATATATTTCAGTGGGCTGTTTTCATCCTGCAGTAACGTTTGCATTTTATTCATCGAATCAAAGTTTGAAGTATATACAGTAAACTACGGTTGTAACGGACTCAAAGGGACCACTAATTTTAGTTCGTTGTAGCCGTGGTTCGTTATATGCATGGGTACAATGTGTGAAGCCCATTTCTGATATTGCTGGAATATTGCTAAAAGCGGCGTAAAACCATATTCACTCACTCACTCACTCGTTATATGCATATATAAAGCATAACTACAGCAAATAGTCGGGACAACAAAGTAAGTAAGTTCGTTATATCCGTTTATTTAACGGTTGGTTAGGAGTTAACCTGACGTTAAAATAACCGGGTTCTGAACAACCGGGCCCAGTTCGTTATAAGCGTGTTCGTTATAACCGTAGTTTACTGTACTTGCTTTTGCTCGTAGTTTAAATGAAATCGGCGACAATACGTGATGTAAACTGTATGTATGATATATAACCATGAGAATCCGCAGTTAAGAATACAATAATGAAATTGTATGTCTTACCTCACTGTCTAGTAGAGGAACGTCTATTCCCAACTCATTAGCTGCTGGGATAAGTTACACATAGATTTAAAAATGCTAACTTACCGAATATATTCAAATAATACCCCCTCTTGATTTAGCGCCATGCATGCTACTATATGTATAGCAATGAACGAAATATTATTCTACATTCCCGTTTTTAATGTCATTAAGACAAGCTATTGTTGATATGTACGCCCAACAGTGGACTTCTATTTTTTACTCATCTAGTAAATGTTGTTATTATAAGTTATACACACCATTATTATCAACAGAAAGCTATTTAATAGATGTAAACCGGAGAAAGTTTGCAAAATCATTATCACAAGTTAGATGTACTGCACATACATCCATGACTGAACTAGGGGGGCACAGTGAGAAATAAGGTATTGTGTAAGCAATGTTATTTAAATTCTGTGGGGGATGAAAATGATTTTTTTAGTAACTAATTGTAATAACTTGAGAAAAAACATACCTAAAACCGCACTCTTTCGTTCAGCCATTGTTCGTAACTTATCAATGTATATTATCATACCATGTGAATTAGACAGTAATCTGTGTGTATATCTCAACATATACCGTGTAATACAGTAAACTACGGTTATGACGAACTCAAAGGGACTACTACTTTTAGTTCGTTATAGCCGTAGTTCGTTATAAGCACATATACAACATAACTAAAGCAAATTGTCGGGACCAAAAAAGTAAGTTCGTTTTATCCGTCATTTCGTTATAAGCGTGTTCGTTATAACCGTAGTTTACTGTACATAGAGAATCTCACCCGATTGTCTTTTGATATCAAATATATCAAAACGAGTTGACGAACTGTGTTGATATATTTGATATCAGTAGACACAAGGGTGAGATTTTATTTATCATCCAACATCATTCTTCCAACTTTTTCAGTTTATAGACAGTAATAAGCAGTGTCTTAAGTGTAAAAAGGACTGCTAACAGCTTCAGCAGCAAAGCCTTTAGTGATGTCATTTGATTGTGACGCCATTTTAACCATTGACATCGCAATGGTCTGCACAGCATTGT